ATAGAAAAATATTAAAATTAACTAAATAAATAATAATTATATTAATGATATATTAATAATACATAATCTATAAAATAAATAAATAAATAAATAATTTTATTATCTGAAAGAAGATATGTCGAATGAATATTGATAGAAAAAAATTAATTAAATAAAAATAAAAATAAACTAAATTATGAAAGAATAAGTAAGCGATAAAAATAGACCTATGTTGACAAAATAAAAAAATTCTTTCGCTTCAATAGTTGACTCAGGCATTGAGGTGCAACTGAAAATGAAGAATAATGAGAAGTTACGTGTTCGCTAGAACGATCGCATTTGATCATGATGATTCGTACTTGAGGGAGGCTGCGCGATAGAATTGTCGTAATTGTTATCGCGGCTTCTCATTTTCGTCTGCATCAGCAAACGGCGCATAGACACGCGACCCTGGACCACTTTGCGGGATCATAAATCTAGGAAGAGGCTGCAGACCCTCCGCGAATCGACGAATGTGCATGTATACAAATGATCGTATATATATTCGAAGCGGTTCTCTCTCAATCTAATCAGTCGCAGGTTGAGTCGTTAGCCTTGTCGACGAGTTATCTGAATATCGGGTCAAGGTTAGCAGACGTTAATGGGCGAACGTTCGGCTGGCTGATTCTTGATGACCGATAAAGACGACACTTCGCTCGAACGAGCGTCGCGTCGTGTCGAGCCCTTCTGTGTCGGTTTCTGCAATTGAAGCTAGCGGTCACCCGAGAGCCATTTGCCCGAAAATCCATTTACTACAGTCAGAAATAATAGGATTGAAAGCGCGCTTTAAAGGGATTTTAGGAATCACGTCAGGGTAAACTCGAGTAAGATGATCACAGTTTTTTTATGCAAAACTCGGGAACAAATCTTTTATATATAATTATATGTAAAATATGTCCATTTTTATACTGCATAATTATTTAAATTATAAGGATTCAGATATAATCATGTCAAATTATATATAAAACATATATATTTATATATATGAAGAAATACTTATTTATTACATATATATATATAAATTTATATAATTATATATAAAAAAAGTACTTTTATCTAATTATGTATGGACACATTTTATATATAATTTAGCGATTATAAATGTATAATTTTATATATTTCTATATAATTTTATATTGTTATATATAAAAATTTTTCACGAAAAACATACTTTTATTTTTATTATTTTTTAATATTTGGCTTTATTAAAGATTAAGTACATATTAAGTACATATTATTAAGTACATATTAAGAACATATTAAGTCGAAATTAAATATGTATATTTCACGTTAAAGTAATAAAAAGAACTTATAATTGTACATATTTAGCTTTTTATCTTCATACATTGAACATACAAACGTTAATATATATTTTTAATATAAAATAAATTATTTAATATAAAATAAAATATATTTTTAATATAAAATAAAAATTTTTATAAAAACATTAAGTTTTAAATATAATCTGTCTGATTGATTTTTTTAACTAAAAATAATCTTTGAAATGATCTTTAAAACAGAACAGAAGTAAAATTTTATACATATAAGCAAAATACATAATATATATTTTAATAATAAAAGTGGGCTATCTTATACCCAAATTGTGAAGAAAAGATGACCATAGTATTTATATATATTCATATTTTTATTTACAAGTTTTTGTCACTTATCTTGAAATTTACTGCTTAAGTATTTTTATGTGGTATAATTCTAAATTAAAAATTATCTGAACTTTATTCTAGATAATTTAGTAAAAATAACACTTTTTCATTTAAGATGTACATATAAATAATATTTTTATTATCTACATAAAGATAAGAGATGACGCCAAAACTTTATGTAGATCTTCTATATAAGTTTACTTTGCTCACAGTAAACATTTGCCTGTAAGATAAAAGGATGAACGATCGTTCGTGCGTTGCCATGTAATTCCTTATTTTAATTAATTAATAATTACAGTAAGCGGATATATCGCATCGGGCGAATATTCAATTTCATCAGTCCTCGTGTAAACGGGAAGTAATTAGCGACATGAGTATTTGGATAATAATGTCGATTGCGGAAACGTCGATCGATTAACCCGAATTCGGGGAATTCTCTCTCCATATGATAAGCATTGTTAATTTGGACAACGATTCGTGTCAACAGCGGTTCGTCTCCTCTTCGTAGAATTTTGCAAGATAATTACAAATTCGCACTGTTATAAAGTAGTTATAGGTAGCTAAAAGCGACTCGATTCGATCGCTTGGTTGTAATTTTACAAATTTACACAGTATAGTTAATTAGCGCGCATTTTTTATTATGCCGTGAACTCAATCATCTCAGTTAATTAACGTTGATTAGAAATTCCCTAGCTCCTTTTAGACCGACCTCTCACTAAAACACAGACCGAACAAGAAGCCTTAATTAACTACATTTTCCGGTACATCTCACAAAACACGATCTATCTCTCACTTCGTAGTTCAAATTACAAGTTCCCTATATTTATCATATAAATGTCAGAGAATTGTTAGAGAAATAGAAAGTAATTAATTTTATTAGTTAGGAATTTTATGTTTCCAAAATTTTTTTAATATGTAAATCTGAAGAATCCAATTTTGCAAAACGATCGATAATTATAGATATTTTGCAAAATTTTAAAATTAATTTTTTCGTTAAGTAGTAATCACGTCTGTTCGATTAGAGAGAATTTCGTCCGTAAAAAGAAACCGTACAATTTGTGCAAATAATGAAAATCGTAACCATAAAATTGATTGTCACTGCGAGCAGCTCAGGTGACCCGATTAATTTCAAAATAGCTGGCGGCCAATTAGGGATAATTACAGAGTACCCGTGGACCTACCTCCGGCATAGATGTGGGAACTAGGAAATATGCAGCATCCCTCTGTGTCCAGTCAGTGTTACAGCGCGTATAATTCCTCGCTAAAGCTTATACAAGCACCTTTCGCAGCATCATATAAGCCTGAGATTAATTAATTTTTCTCCCTCCTCTGTACAAGGACACTGTAATTCAAAAAAATGGACGGTTGCTAATCCAGAATTAATTATTTCGAATAATTGATCCCTGCCTCCTTACCTTAGACTCGTTAAAGTTGCCCCAAGCGTTGATGGCGAGAAAGACCCTCATTAATCTCCCTTATTATGTGAAACTACTGCCGCAGTTTATCATTGTTATACGAGAGATTTGTGTATATATAATATTATTAATAGTAAGTCTTAATTGTGTACCACGCGAATTGTATTCTCCAATTTATCACGTATATTGATTATGAATGCGCGACATCGTTAGATATTATATATGGAAGTTGCATATCTAATTTTTAACTCAAATGATTCAAAACAGAAAAATAACGAAGAGTGAAAATAAAATAAAATAAAATAAATCAAGATAAGATAAATAAATAGAAAATAAGATTAAATCAGTTTCGAAAGTAATCATAAAATTAAAATCATTTCTGAAACTTATTTATTATAAGACCGTCGATTATTTATTATATATCACACATATGTAATATCAATTAAGTAATTTATCAAGTTATCAAGAGCAGTATATAATAAATGTAATATCTCTATAATAACATATAGATACGCGAATATTGAGTCGGAGACTTATCTTCGTATGCAGAAGAAAAATTTTATTATCAAATCGAGGAATCAAATTATACTTTCAGTAAATAAAATTTTTACTGTGTTAGAAATATTTTTCATTATATAACAATTAACAAAGCTCTTGATAAGGCAGCTAAAGACAATCTATGTCAATTTAAAAAAATTTTTATTTAATAACGTCTCTGTGTACGAAATTTACTTAATAATAAAAATGTTTTAATTAGCTTAATGCTTAATTAATATACATCGTTAGCTTTATTAGTCATTTCAAAAATTTATTTGTACTTAAAAACGATGTATATTAATTAGCTTAAATAATATACATCATTAGCTTTATCAGTCATTTCAAAAATTTATTTGTACTTAAAAAGTTATAATTTTCCATAAATATTTGGAGACAAAATTCTTAGATTCGAGGCCGATTCAACATAAGAATTATTACAGCATCTCTTCCTTACATTGAATTAAATTTCTTTATATAGAATCCACTGAAAAAAATTCTTGAATTCGAATAAATATTTATTTCAATATTGTCTAATAAATAATTTATTTGAAACTAATAATATTTGATGTAAAAAATCAGGGTTGGGTAAGTTAATGATTTTTTTAAACTAAGTTAAGTTAAAGTTAGAGTTGCTTATAAAATTAATTTAGTTAAGTCAAAAGGTTTATGAACAAAAAATTAACTCAGTTAAACTTAAGTTAAGATTAACTGAAGTTAAATAAAAAATTAATTTTTATAAATACTATTTATATTAAATTAGAATTTTATTTGTTAATTCTTTTGTGAAATACATAATAACAAATTTATAACTTATAAAAACTCAATAATGGTATTCAGAGATAAAACAATTTAACTTAGGAAAAAAGTTAATAAGTTTAAGATAAAAAATAACTAATTAAAGTTAAAAATTAATACAATTTAAATTAACTAAACTAAATTCAAAGTTATAAACTTTTTAACATTTTTTTTAACTTTTAACTAATTAACTAGTTAATAAGAAAATCTTTTTGTACATTTATTCTGATTTGTGAGACAGCTAGAAATATACATTTATTAATGAAATAATTCTTTTTCAGTGTATATACAATAAAACTCGCAATAATAATTTTCTCATTTGTCCTCGGGACCGAGTATCTTTTGTATCAAAATATCGCAGTATTTTTATCTCGCGCATCCATCGCTCCATTAGATATCTCCGGCTTCCGTTCGAGCCGGTTTTTCTCTTGAGGCCGTCATTGAGAAAAGAGAGTCCCTGGACATTTTTCCCCCGGGGCTCGGAGCGAGCCAAGGCTGTGGACACCGGCTCGGTCGTCGAAAAAAAGGGGCCTAATCAAAGTGAGCAGACCTATAAGAGCGAGCCGCGGACAGACGTCTCATTCAGTAGAGTCCGCGATATAAGCCAAGGCGCGAGTTCACGGCACTCGCGCGTCGCGATCAGCTGATGCGGGAAACTATATTTCGCGCGTTACCCGACGTATTTTTTCTTATCAAGATAATCCGGAACATCTGGGGCAAAATTCTTCTTTAACAGCTCGAAAGCGTCCGGAGAAGACGTCTCCGAGAAATTGCGAAAAGGGGGAGTCGAACCGCCACTTGTCATCAAGGACCCGCAAGCTATCAGTATGTAGATTTCATTATAGTGCGAGTGCTCGCGCGTGTCAGATCCGTTCGGAAACGAGAGGCTTTCCGGAATTCAGCCCACACGTCTGCAAAGGTGGATTATAGTGATAATACGCGTAGATCCTCTCTAGCTCGGCTAGAGAATTCGAAAAGGTTCGCCGACGCGTGAACAAAAAGCCAGAATCACTCTCGTCGAGGTGTATTTTCTGCCCACAGCTGTCTATTTTTGTACAACATTTTTTACATCATTGTGCGACTTCCAATATAAGCGGATCTAACGGTATGCAAATTAGAGATCGTCGCATTGAATTTCTTTCTCGTCATCAGCGTTCAAAGTCTATTCGCTTGGACTATACATTAATAAGCAGCGTATATAGATATAATGAGACAGCTAGCGAAGGTGACGTCGCTTCCGACTTGATCGATTATTCAAAAGACTGTATTACGGCTGAAAACGCGCGTAAGTTGTTGGCTCGCGGCTGAGCTGGCTCTCTTTCAGCCTTAAAGGGATAACAACTATAATTTATATCTAATCGATCGATAGGCATTTGTACTCGAGCGATCGTAAAATCGCATCGTTTAAATCGGCTTAGTCATCGTGACGAGAGGGAATAATTAATTGCTATCTGTATCCCGGGTTTGTACTCTCTTTCGTGAACTTTTGGCTCGTCAAGAAGGATCACGTCTCGGGTTTCGGACGGAACTAGGAGATGCCTTCCAAAAAGTAACGAGAGACGAGTTTCTGCGAGACATGCTGGCTTGAAATACGACTCGCAGACGTGGAAGTTCAATGTTCTTCGAGGAGGTGAATGAGTTGACTCGCGACCACGTGACTTCGATTCTTGAAACGTCAGAGAGAAAGTCCGACCGGATCGGAGTAGTCGGTGAGTGTTCTTTTTCTATTTTCCAGCACTCAGACATTCCTCGCGTTAATATAATGCGTGCAATTATATTTCTTTTTACATATAGTGTGTAATCGTTTTGCATATATCTGCGTGAAAAATTAATGCTAAGGTACAAATTATTGTATCTTCCTGTTTTATTTATCTTTTTTTTTAATGTGAAAAAATTATATGTATATATATTTAATCTTTGAAAAATTATGTGCAATCAAAAATATGTAATGAAAAGAAACAAAAATGTAGTTTATTTATAGATTTTTGCGCAACAATTTTTATGAGTAATTTTTAATTCCGTTTAATATACATACAAAAGATGTGAATAAAATTATATTCCGATAAAGCAGTATGAATAAATAAAAATGAGTCAAGTGTCGTTAATTTTATCGAAGCTTCAAGATTATTATGATAGGCAAATACGCGTAATGATAACAATGACGCAAGTGTCAAACAGAAGAACGACGTTTTAACGATACGATAATCGCGGGAAAAAAGATAATCGTGAGAAATGTATGAGTAATTTTCTGGCACGTGCGAGTATATTACATCATTAGAAACTTAAAAGTATAAGACATATTTTTAACGGCGACCTATAACCTGGCTAAGAAAACATCTGAGAAACTGATAAAAGGAAAATAAAAATAAAATAAAAATTTGCACGTAAAAAGAATAAGTAAAATTTAAATACGAAAAAATTTTGAATTTTTAAATTTTTAAATAAAAATGTTTCAAAAATTGTAAAATTAAATTTTTAATTTTGCAAATCAATAACAGGATGAAGATATACAGTTAAATAATATAGAAGTTGTTTGAATTAAGATTTTTAGTAAATTCAATAATTTTTATAAGCTTATCGAAGATTCTTTTATAATTTTTCTATTTCTTAGATATTTCATCACCTCATTTCGATTCGATATCTTATTTTATATTGTGCCTATCTCTCGATAAGATGACCCTCAAAAGCACACATATTTGCGACAGTTTTTCTAACTGACAGTCTGTTGACGACTGATGTCTCTCATCGTTGCACAAACATTCGTAAATGTGTTTTTCTCATGTTTTTCGATTACTTCAGATTTATATATACACTGGTATATGTTAAACAAAATCAATCAGTCTACTCGAAATAAATCTGAAAAAACATACATATGGCCTCTGCCTTAAACCATGTTTCCTCATAGTTGCAATTATTCGATGTATCAGTTACACGGCAAATTCTCAAAAAACAACAGTAGAGAAATAAATAAATAACAATGTTTTGCATGAATGCGTTTATCTTGCTTCTCGCATTATTGTTAACTATACTTTATCTCACAATATTATGTTTGCAGCAATTATAAGAACAATGTTAGAATTAAATTTATTATATGTTTTTTTGATATGTATTTTAATTACCTTTTTGTTTTAATCAAATTAGTCCAATCTGTCCTTTTAAACAAAACTTTATTTTTTCATTTACGTTTATTAAATTTAATCATTTTATCTCTAAATTGAAATATCGTTTTATGTTTGCGCAACAGAATAAATATAATTATTTAATTATATTTACATGATGCATATTATCCTGATCTTTTTAGAAAATGCTTATGTATTCCAAGAGTGAAGGCAATTAAAGCAACGAGAGATAGAGAGTTTCCACGACATCGCACAATCTGGTACGGAAGCTGCAGCAGTACTGATCGCTCCAAAACGTGATCGGCACTTATAAATAATAAATGTAGCGATATAGACGTTATCTCGCGACCCGAGATAATACGAATTATCGGATAAACATTTGAGAACATTTTTCGTTCTAATTACAAAGCGATTAGTCAGTCAGCGAAACATGGCTCTCGAGTCGAGGTACGTATTAGCTGATTCGGCAAATCATACTTATGCAAGTGGAAAAAAATCAGAAAATGTGTACTTGTTGTCAAGATTGTCGCACTCGAACGAGGAAGGGCATCCGATGCTGAATTCGTCAAATTACAATACGCATACATTGGACAATGAGAATAACAATAATAATGACAATGTTAAGAGTGGAAAGAGCTCTTTCCAGAAAGAAGACGCGGTCGTGCTGCATTCGAATGCGAAAGGAGTGCTTGCACAGGTAAGATAAAATTTTATATGGTAAATAAAGGAATATATACATCTAGAAGCACCAAAAATCATTTTTATAATTTTTTTTCTTAGAAAGTATCGAAATAGAATTTTATCAGTCTATTATATGTATATTTATTAATATAAAATAAATTTTTTATTAAAATAGTGAAAAATTCTGCTCATTAATGTGCAATTTACATATAGTTTATTTATCGATTAATTCTTAAAATATACAGATAAATTTTCCATTTAAAATATTAATTTATAAAATTAATTACTAAATAATTAATAAAAATTAAAAAATAACGCAATCATTTTCTTCTATTTCTTTGCAATCTTATCGGAACGTCTGCACAGTGAAAAATGCGAAAAAGTCGAAAATTTTTCGAAATATTTACTTCGAAAATTATTCTTATCGCGTGTATGACACATTTCTTTCCCTTTTTTTGGCCCGCAATCACTCCGCGTGTGAATTGCTAACTTTCATGCAAACAGGGAACTTGCAGTCGCGTGTTCAACGATGCGAGAGAGCGACGGAGATATATATTCTGGATTAGTGCCAGAGCACATTTTTCTGTTTAAAAATAGATAGAAAGCTGCCAAAACGCGGCGCCTACCATCCCTCATCGCGCTTTCTTCTCGTTGTTTCGCTGCGAAAATGTGTAATGCGGTTTATAGTACGCGGTAACATAAATCTGTAAAAGATAAATGTTATTTCTAAAAGGGGGATTGTGGAGTATATATATATATATATATACGCACATAAAATTATCAGCGGAGATATCGCGTTCGTAATAAGCTGCGTAGACTTCAGCGAGATAATTGCAGCGTAAAATATATTTATAAATACATATCTGCAACGTGCAACAATTTGCATTACGTCATAATGAAACAACTCTTTCATTGCGCTCATGTACACTCGTCAGTGTGTTTGCTGTTATCTAGATAAAATTATATAGATAATCATCTAGATAAAACTTTGATGTAATCTTATCTTTATTATATAGATAAAAATATGTATTATCTATATCTGTATATTAGATAAAAAAAAGTATTCTTTACTAAATTATCTAGAATAATTTTTAGATAGTTTTGTGGTTTAGAATCATAGCACATAAAAATATTTAAATATATATATATTATATATTTTATAATAATATAATAATTTATATATTTTATAATAAAATATATTTTTATATCCTTTTTATATAATTTATATTTTTTTATAACTGTTTATATAAGCAGTCTCAAAAATTATTAATTATCTATTATAAAATTATCTAGATGAATCGCCATATAATTTTATCTTTTATCTAGATGTATTTAAAGAATAAAATCATCTTCATCTTATCTAAGATGAATTTACACATTTTTATCTCATCTTTTTAAAATCATCTAAGCACAACACTGCTTATCTCTCCCTCTCGATGCGACGTGTTATTTATTGTTTCTCGGAAAATACATAATCCGTGTATCTATAGAGATTTCTGTTGTAAGCGCATCCTTTTTACCTATCATAAATATCCTCCAACAGCTTAAAGTATATCTCTGTGGAACTGCAGCGGAAACTGGAAAATGCTATAATAGCTGTGTTCAAGTTTTATAGTAAGAATGCAGCGGAGTGATAGTAAATCTTGGCTACATGTCAACCACATGTTTCTTATCCGCTTTTCAATTCAAGCTTGTACACAATTATTTGTATCCATCTCTGAAAACTGTCGCAAAATTCTTCTCGCAATTCTTTTGCGCTTAAAGTACTTTAATGTATATTTTGCGGTCGTTAATTCTTACCTGTACCGACTTTTCAAACCTCCATATATTAATCAATCAATTTAAGGCTGCATTTAGACAATAATTGAAATATCGATCTCAAATTGTATATTGCTTTTTTTTTATTAATTAATATAATAATTTATATTAGTTTATTAATATATTATTTTAGCAGTCTCAAAAATTATTAGCTAGAAAATTATCTAGATGAATCGCTATATAATTTTATCTTTTATCTAGATATATTTAAAGAACAAAATCATCTATTTTATTAAAATCATTTATTTTATTAAATTAATATTTTGAATTAATTTTTCGCTGCAAACTTTTTCTTTCTCTCCTTTTTGCGATTAAAATGCATGTATTTTGCGATCGTTAGTTTTTCATAAAACTGGCTTTTCAGGCTTTACGTGTTAATGAATCAACGCCATTGAAGGCTGCATTAAGCAATAATTGGAATATCGATCTCGAATTTTATATCGTTATTGTATTCACTTCCGTTATTTCGCGTTAAGTTAGATGAAATAATTTTCTGCTGCAACAGTTCCATTATAGCGAGCACAATTAATGAAATAATTAACGACTTGTTTTCAGTGTTTAGTAACAGGTGCAGTATTATTATTGGCGATGGGCGGCGGGATGCCTATTGGTTACAGTGCAGTATTGTTGCCGCAATTGTCGAGAAACAACAGTGCTTTATACGTGGATCGCGAAGTCGGGTCCTGGATAGGTAAGAATATCTACTTGATAATTTAGAACGTATAAAAAAATTATACAAGATTTTGTCAATTTCCAAAATATTTTTTAACACCAATTTTTATCACACTAATTTTTAATACTAATTATTATAATAAATTCTTTTCTTCCTCTTCCCAAAAATAATTAAAAAGATTCGCGTCGCGAAAAAAAATATTGCCTATATGCACTAAAAAAAAAAAACTGGTTAATTTATCTAAATCTATTAACTAAATCCCTATGTTGTTAATTAAACATATATATTAATATTTAAATCAAATATACGTTTTGTTAGATTTAATAAGTTATATTTGATTTAAATATATTTTTATATGTTCAATTAAGAAAATAATATTTATTTGAAAGAGATTCATTCGAGTTAACTTTTTTTTCGAGTGCGAAATCGAGATTAATCTTTCTCTCTCTATATCTCGGATGTTGCGAGTTCAAGAACCGACATGCAGGTTCAAGGTTGCATTAATGATGACCCTCGCGCAAACGAAGCGACCGTCGCCGATCGTTGCATTGTAACTGACCTATATAATTCTCTGTCTCATTGGATAATCTTTATCAATGAGTGTCAAGGCCAAGTTCGCGCGCGAAAGGTACCGTTTCAAAGCCTACGAGAGCCTTGATGAGAGGTCGCAATTAAACCAGCCGTGTCCTGTAAAAAAAACCGCAAGTGCCAATTAAAAGCAAAAAAAAAAAATCCGTCCAAGGGGAAAAATTGTCCGTGTAATGCGGCTTTTGAAATAGCTTCTTTATGCTTATTTTCACTTGCACCTAACATATACATTTATCATTTCCTAACCGGACAGCGGCGAAACTACAATGTCAGCACGCGATAATTATCATTTTTTTTAGCACCACATACAACGTTTTAGTACGTCGTAAAGTTCGCGATGCTCAGCACATTGGCTATTTTATGGTTTGCAGATGGCGAATGTGGCCTTTAGCTATAAAGGTCGCGCATTTATATATACAAATTCACGTGTAGATTCAATTTCGCCATGATAGTATTGTGTAAGGATACGTGAATTTTGACTCACAAATTGAACGATTCGACGATATATTATTTAATAGAACGTTTTGTTGGAGGTTCAATTATGCAAGAACGAAATCCCTCTCTTTTTCGTGCTTCTTCACGTCCATAGGATCGCAATAAGACGCAAAGCGATCGGATGAGCTTACTTAGAGAAGCTGGCCTTAGAATATATGTGGGTCACGCACATGTTGAAAGTTTATTGGAATATAGTGAAGGCGAAAAACGGGGTCCACATATATGTCGGATCGCTCGTATTAGTTTCGGGGTTTTGGTTCTCGCATGGTTGATTTCGAACCATTACGGTCCGGGATTTATCTTGCTATGTAGATCACAACTGACTAATGTCGCCGACAGAGTCGCATGCATCCGATTGTGATCGATGTCCCGTTTCCCTAAGTACATCCTCCAGGGATCATTATTTGCAATCATCAGTTCCGGCATCTCATTACTTCGTTACGTCATCGCATTAAAGGATTTTGTCCTAGTATATATTTCTGGCTCAATATTAAATATCTACAATTTTTTATAAATATAAATATCTACAATTAAATATTAATAATTTAAGATCTACAATTTTGTATAATAAATTATATAAATAGATCTTGTATATAAAAGTATATATTTTACGATAAAAATAAAATAATCAGACATTTCGTTATGTCGTATCACGTTAAAATATTTTGTCCCAGTATTTTTCTGGCCCAATATGTCGTAAAGAATATTCTCAACACTTAGGAATTAATTAATTGGAGGTTTTACACATAGTAGAAATTCTTTAAATATCTACAATTTTTTATAGTAAATTATAAATAGATCTTGTATATAAAAATATATATTTTACGATGAAAAATAAAATAATCGGATATTTTGCTATGTCATCACATCCAAATATTTTGTCCAAGTATATTTTTGTCGTAAAAATATTTCTCAACACTTACGAATTAATTAATTGAAGGTTTTGCACGGTCGAAATTATTTGAATATTTATAATTTGTATAATAAATTCAAAATAAATTTTATACATGTTATAAATATATATTTTACAATGAATAATAACGCAAATTATAGATTCTAAATTCTTACTTTTTTTCTCAATTTTCTACATGTCGAATTATTTTTTTTATAAAGAAAAATAATTTTTATTTAATTCTACGCATTGAACCTGGAAAATATTTGACACAGAGCTATATGTGTGCCGAATCCTTCTCGTTAAAACAATGTAAAAAAAAAGAACAAGATCGATGCGCGTGAACTTTGATTGCATTCCTCCCTGTGGATGTCGATAAAAAGTGGAGAAAAAGTGGAGTCGCAATTTGCATTAATCGAACCGCAAGTATTCTACTATAACAATTCGCAATTAATGCATTGGGTACTAAATGCGATAATGAAAAAATCAATAGCGAGAATCAACACGATCATCGACACGTAATAATCGCGTTATTTAAAAAGTTTCCCTTTTCTTGCGCGAGAAGACAAGTTCAAATGGTTTATTACTTTGGAAGTTTTCACTGATACTCTTTTAATTATAAAATGTAAATTCTTATACGAGCTTTTTTTCATTTCCAAAGAAGAAAGGAACATAAAATGTATATTCATGCTGATATGATCGTTCCGTGTCATTTGATATAATATTCAGGGCGAGAAATTCTCTCGTAATTTTATCTGCTAAAAGTTGACGAATTAATCGAGCGAGAGAAATCTCGACAGCTTTTCCTTGCCGAGTCGGTAGAAATTTTTAGAGATTCTCTTTTTTCTGCGTAAACACACACGCCATAACAAGTATAATACGCGATTATGATCGTGTCGTTAAACGAGTTAAACTTTTAACATTTATAAATAAAGCGTCGTCCTACGCTCGATTCAATAATAACGTAGATATACACACGTGATCGTAAATAGATCGTTAATTGCTTTCTGCGATGTACAGTAATATACCTTAATGAAGATGCTTGTGAGAAATGTTTTTACGGTTGAACTGTCAACTTTTTATACCTACATCGCTCGATACGCTCATTAAACGCATAAATTTGCATCTTTCATGGAACGCTTTCAGTCTCGTTCGCTTTTCATGTGATTTATAATAAAAAAATTTATTTAAGATTTCCATTCTAATGTGTTCATAATATTTCAAAATTTGAAAATTTACAATTAAAAGAAATTCACGTTTTCCAATTTACACCTGGCAAACAGTTTTTATATCTAACAATATGAAATTATATAAAAATATATAAAATTATACATGTAATCGTAAAATTATATATGAAATATGTGCATACATAATTAGATAAAAGTGCTTTTTATATATAATTATATATATATAAATAATAAAATAAAAAAACCTTAATTTATTATTATTATTATTATTATTATAAATATATATCTTTCATATATGTATAATTTGACATGATTATATAATTATGTATAAAAATGGACATATTTCACATATAATTTTACAATTAATGTCTAATGACACAATTATTTATATATAATTATACATAAAACATTTTTTCCCGAGTCTCCGTTTTCGTGAATTGATGGAATCATCAAAGAGATAAATATGTCATTTTATTTCTTGCGCAGCTTCCGTTCACAGTCTGACGACTCCTGTCGGCTCGCTCTTATCTGGACCGTTGCTGGACATGATCGGCCGACGAGGTAGCCTCCAATTGTGTGCAATTCCTCTGTGCGTAGGCTGGTTGATAATCGGTTTCTCGAGATGCGTGACCGCTATTTTGATAGGAAGACTCGTTTGCGGTTTATCTGTGGGAATGATGGCGGTGCCCGTACAGGTACGATATACGTCTTGATGATTCCACGGATATGTCTTGATGATGACGTGTAACGTTGGAATTGTTCGAAATAAATTTCGCGCGAGTCTCGAAGCTAAACGTTATAATGGAAAATTGTCATTAAATTCGATTTTATAATATTGTTTTATATTACATCGGATTATTCCATTTATATTTAGTATTATTTAGTATTTATTATTATTTATTATTATTTAGTTGTATTTTTTCGAATTAAAAGACCGCATGAAATATAGAGGATTTTTTTTCATATGTTGTAGATTATGTCGTCCTGCCGAATAAAAGATATAATAGCAGCCTTAAAGCTGAAAATTGGATATTTGAAGTAGAGTACGTGTTTCGTATTTAACTATTACATTTTTTGTTTAACAGATCATAAACTACAACATATGAAAAAATCAGCTGATCTTACCATGATTCATTTTATATAATTAAAAAATAGAGGGGTTTTGAACCTATATATAAAATTCTAAATGAATCTTAGTAAAATCAGCTGATTTTCTCACATGTAACTTATGACTTGCTGAATAAAAAATGTAATAGATTCAAAGCTAAATAATATGACAGATGGTTATTGATTTAGAACCAGTCAGACACGAACAATTTGGACTTTCCGCACAAAAAAACCACAAAAATACGCAAAAATTACTAATATAATAAATAGTTCTTCAATAATAAAGTATTGTTATATCAGTAATTTTTTCGTATCCTTGTAGGCTTTTTTTCGTAAGAATTTACGAATTGTTTGATTGGCTGTAATTATTAACTATCGAATATTTAGCTTTGAGGCTTTTACTTTTTTGTTCAACAAGGCATAAACTACAACATATGAAAAAAGTAGCCAATTCCATCGAAAACAAAAATTCTAAGTATTTGGTCCTTCTTCCTTTAGATTCTTCTCGGTCTGATCATAAAGGGACTTTCACTACTTAATTTATGTGCAACTGTTTTGCTACTAATTTTATTGACGTGATGTTCATATTTATTTCATTATTAGCTTAAAAAGTGATTGAATAACATTGCTTGGAAAATAATGATTTCCAAGTCTCACCATTTGCTCTGTCATTTCACCAGGTTCTGGTAACGGAAATGGCGTATCCCGGCCTACGTGGTTTTCTGGTAGTCGGCTCGTTCGCCTCGTACTGCTTCGGTATACTGCTGGTTTACGTTTTGGGCGCCTCTTTTAATTGGGACGTTGTAGCATTTTCCGGCATCGTGCCTCCAGTTCTGGCTTTTATCGCTCTCTGCCTGGTGCCCGAAAGTCCAGCCTGGCTCGTTAGACGGAAGAAGATTGAAAAAGCCAAGGAGGCCCTTTTATGGCTCAGAGGCGGCGATATAGCTCAGGTACAAGAAACCTCGTAAACTTGCGTATTTCGAAAATAAAAAAAAAGCTAAACGCGAGCTAAAGTATATATAATTGTTGATTATTGGCTTAATTATATTGTAATAGAATCTTATTATCTCTTTCGGACTTTATTATCTCTTTTTTATTTGAGTTCTGTAAACTTCTTGTAAAATCAGCTTTTTTCATAAAGCACCGAATCTCTTTGTAAATCGATGTTTTATAAAGTTTAGATTTTTTATAAAAAAGGACTGAATTTATAGAGCTGGATTTATATAACGCTTGGCAATTAAAAAAAAATGAGCTGAATTTATATAACTCTTGGCAATAAAAATAGAAATGAGCTGAATTTATATAACTCTTGGCAATAAAAAATAAAAATGATTGAATTTAGAACTAAATGTTAGTAAAATAAGAAAAAATAAATTTCTATGACATTTTCTTAAGCAATAATTATCAGCTCGATCGTATCGTATGATATGTAATTAATCTGTTTTTGTTTCTTAAATTTTCTAAAAATAAGAGCAATCACTTAATCATTTGATTTTTTAAATAAACAAAATTAACGACCAACTGGCATAAAATAAATATCTTTATTATTACTAAGACATATTATTAAATCAAGACAACGTTTCGACCCTTGTTTTGGGTCCTTATCATGTTAAAATTATTAAACTTTCAATGTATTGTCAAGCTTAAATTGCAATTATGTTTATATTTAATGATTATTGTATAAAAATTGATGTTCCATGATTAAATATTTAGTGTATTTTTTGTCTTGATTTAATAATATGTCTTAGTAATAATAAAGATATTTTTATGCCAGTTGGGTCATTAATTTTGTTTATTTATTTTATCATTCACTGGCGAGACAAAGATTTACTGATTATATTTAATTTTTTGTTTTTAATTAATTAGGTGAATGTAGAAATAGCTGTCCTGAACGCGGGAATGAGAGCCGAGGTGGATGAGAGGCCTGTCTCGCTGAAGGAAAAGATCTCCTCGGCAGTGTCCATCATGCGAGATCCGGGTGTGCTGAAGCCATTCATGATCATCAACATATTCAATATCCTTCAATTGTTCTGCGGAACGTACATCATCGTCTTCTACGCCGTTGATATGATCAAGGACATCGGTAAGAAAGAGTGTCAATTTTATTTTCCGGGGAAAACTTTAATTTCCGTTCGAGTCAAATCTTTAAAATGGATGTAGCAAAACGCAGCGAGGAGACGTGGAATCTCGCCTTTTATTATATCGAGTCTCTCTCTCTCTCTCTCTCAGGCGACAGCAATATCGATAATTATTTGGCGGCCGTCGTGACAGCGGCCATCAGATTCATCTTCTCCATTGTCTCTTGCATTCTACTACTTAAAGTGGGCAGACGACCCTTAGGTATCATTTCGGCCTTCGGCACGGCCTTGGCCTCTTTGACACTCTCAGGATACATGCTGGTCCGACAGAAGGGCTCTTCCGTGGACGTAAGTTTTATTTATTTTATTCTGCGATTTAGCCTGTCGCTCAAATTTAACGAACGAATTTCAGGCCTACTTGTTAGCCGTATGTTTGTTGCTTTACGTCGGCGCGAACACCCTGGGTGTGTTGACGCTTCCCGCGCTGATGTCCGGCGAACTGATGCCTCTCAGGGCTCGAGGCATCGGTAGCGGATGCAGCTTCTTCATCTTCAATTTACTTATGTTCTTCGCCACCAAGTGTTTCCCATGGGTATGTGCATGACATATCGCGTTGTAATATTTAGAAAAGTTAATATTGTAACGCGAGTGCGAGATAAAAATCTTCAATAATGCTAATTAAATATAAATTCAGGTGTGAAAAGAGCTAGCAGATACCCAGGCGCCAGATATTAAGTGTAATAAAATTATTTTTAAATTTCTCTATATTTATTATGGTAATAAATAAATATAGAGAAATTTAAAAACAAAAAATGTCATTCTTCGACAAATTATTTTTAATTATTTTGTGATAAATAAATATAGAGAAATTTAAAAATAAAATGCAATATCCTAACAAAATTATTTTTAAATTTCTTTATATAATACTTTTCTTATCACAAAATTATTTTGTACTAAATAAATAAATAGAGAAAAAAATTAAATGCAACTCTTCAATAAAATTATTTTTAAATTTCTCTATATTTTTTATCACAAAATAATTTTGTAATAATATAGAAAAATTTAAAAATAATTTTGTTGCATCTAATCTGTGTCCTTTTTTTATATCTGAATTTGTATTTTTATATATCATTATTTTATATAGAGCCTTTTCGATTTATTATTTTAAGAGATATACTTTTATTTCTACCGAACACACATTTACGTGCGCATGTCTGAAATATCTTATGTATATATTTTCTATTTTTTAATATTAAATATTTTTAAGATAAACAATGCTGTTGGCGTATCAGGAGTGTTTGCTATTTTCGGCCTCTCTGCTCTTTTGGAAACTATCTTTATTTACCTCGCTCTACCAGAAACGAAGAATTGTACACTTCAGCAGATTGAAGATTACTTTCAAGTAAGGAAACATACGAAATTAGATAAGCTTATTAATCATAGAGACAGCATACTCAACGTAATTATATTTCCGCAGCAAAGTAATCTCTTATGGATAACTAGAACGCGAACGAGGAGGGATGCATTCGTGCCTGTGAACGCTACTTCCGTCTGAGCGGTTTAATCTCTCTATCTTGAATGTAAATAAAATCGAAATGTTTAATTTATACATGACTGCGATATTATTAGATAATAATAATTGTATACTTTTATATTGTTAGTATTTTAAGATGTCTTCTCTGTGAATATATCGCTCTGACGAGCAAATCTAATATGCAATTAATTATGTAAGTAAAAATTAAAATAGCAATATCGATATAGTATAGTATATCGTTTATACTTATAGAGAAGAAAATTTGTATTCCAATTTCATGATTGAGATTTGTGAATAAATGGAACTTTTCTGATATAAAAAACCAATCTATTTAATTATAACATTTTTTTATCTAATAAATTAATTGTATTAATTTAGGATGACCGGCCAAGATAATACAATAATGTTTAAATTCTCAAATCTCTCGTGCATGTATTTTCATTTATTTTATTTTTACATATACGATTTTTAACTGTAGAATTAATTGATATAATCTATCAATATTGTCTATATTTATCGATTCTCACACGTGATATTATATGACTTATATTGGAATAGAATCTTATTATCTTTTTCGGACTATATCTCTTTTCTGTTTTTCCTTGTACATGTGTCTTGTAAACTTCTTGTAAAATCAGCTTTTTTAATAAAGCACCAAATCTCTTTATAAATTAATGTTTTATAAAAGTTTAGGTTTTTTTTTATAAAAAAGACTGAATTTATAGAGCTTGCAAGATATGCACATAACTCTATGTAATATTTTTTTCTTAAAATATTTTTTATCGTTATCTCCTCGATATATATATTTATATTTTTATATTTATAGAGAATTGAACACATATAATATACATATTATTATTGACTATCAAGTCTCTATAACATATATTGGCAATAAAAAATAAAAATGATTGAATTTGGAATTAAATGTGTTATGTAGTAAAACAAGAAAAATAAATTTCTATATTTTAAACTTTACTTCTTTTAATTTGTAATTTCCTTTCAATTGATTGGGATAATTTAGCATGCTCCCTATTGTTTTATACAATGTGCATCGATTACATATCAGGAGGTTACAAAAATAATATAAGTCTTCAGACTACATTACTGATCGCACCAGTGCGATCACGAAAGTAAACGATTCTTTCTCAGAATAATTAGAGGTAGCTAAAAGCTTAGTGATAACCAACTCTGACAGGTATGTTACGATTTTACTTAAGCATGAGGGTTGCGGAATTTCTCGCCGGCGTATTTCGCAGCGGCGCCCAGTTCCTCCTCGATACGCAGAATCTGGTTATACTTGGCCAGACGTTCCGAGCGACAGGGCGCGCCGGTTTTAATCTGGCCGGTCGAGAGACCAACGACCAGGTCGGCGATAAACGTATCCTCCGTCTCTCCGGAACGATGGGAAACCATTGTACCCCAGCCGTTACTCTTAGCGAGCTTGTGCGCATTGATGGATTCGGTTACGCTACCGATTTGATTGACTTTCAACAGCAAGCAGTTGCATGCTTTCTTCTCGATGGCCGTCTGGATTCTGAAATATATATAAGTAAATACGAATATAGTAAGATGTATGATAAATACATATATATATATATATATATATATATATATATATAAGTTTAGCAATAAAATAAAGTTTAACTAAGATATTATCTCATTACCTTTCAGGATTTGTGACGGTAAGGTCGTCTCCGACAATTTGAATAGGAGTGGCCGCGGTCAAAGCCGTCCAGGAATCCCAGCCATCCTGATCGAAGGGATCTTCAATCGAGACAATCGGAAAATCTTTGATAAATTCCAAGTACAAGTTTTTCAATGCTTCCGGTTCCAGGTATGTGCTTGGATCGGACTTTTCATTCTTGAAGTCTAAATCGTACTTTCCATTCTTGTGGAATTCAGAAGCGGCAACGTCCATGCCAATTTTGATCTTTCCTTCGTAACCGGCAATCTGCAAATATTCGTGACAAAATTATTGTACACTGATAATTATTATAAAATAGTGTAATGTATATTATTCAAATCTCATATTTACCTTAATAGCATCTATAATTAAGTTGAGAGCTTCCTTATTTTCCAAAATGTTGGGTGCGAATCCACCCTCGTCACCAACAGCAGTGGCGTCGAGGCCGAACTTCTTCTTGATGCCTGCCTTTAAGTGATGGTACACCTCGCTGCCCATTTTCATGGCTTCGGTGAAGTTGGCTGCACCGGTAGGTAAAATCATGAACTCCTGCATGGCTAGCTTGTTACCAGCATGAGAGCCACCATTGATTACATTAAATGCTGGCACTGGCAAAATGATATCGTTGTTGCCAGCCAATTCGGCGATATATCTGTAATACAAATATAAATATCATTGAAATATAAATATAAATAGAGATCAATCAAAATTAATATTGGACGCTAGTGGTGAAAATAAACTTGGTAAAATTGATTTCGACGTAACTAGCAATTTTATTCAATACTTTCACGACGTTTCGACCATTTGGTTGTGGTCCTTATCAAGTGAGAATTCTATAACACAATATTACACAATAGTTTTTAACAATTTCAACGCAACATAAAACCGATCTTCTCGAGAAACATGTAAGAAAGAGAGAGATTGCTGAAATGTTCTTCATGAAAAAGCATGATAATACTGTTAACCTATAAAGACACTGAGAATTTGACATATATTTACGACAAAATAATAAAGATTGTTTAGTTGTGCGTTTCAAACTTAGTCGTTTGACAAAACATCATAGCGATGGGACGTGTTCCTCTTTTAACTATTAATTTTAAATAAGATCGGTTTTATGTTGCGTTAATCTCATTTTAATTGATGGGTATGTTTGTGGTCATAACTTAACATTTAAATATATTCTTGTATGTTTCAACATTGTTAAAAACTATTGTGTAATATTGTGTTATAGAATTCTCACTTGATAAGGACCACAACCAAATGGTCAAAACGTCGTGAAAGTATTGAATAAAATTGCTAGTTACGTCAAAATCAATTTTGCCAAATAAATAGAGATATTTTTAAATTTATCATTAAAGATATTTACTTATACAAGGGCAAACCCTTTTTAGCAGCACCAGCCTTGCAAATTGCTAAAGAGACACCTAAAATTGCATTTGCTCCAAGTTTGGATTTATTTGGTGTGCCATCCAGCTTCAGCAGGAAGTTATCAATATCTGTTTGTTGCGTAACTTCCAAGTTGGCCTTAAAAACAAGAGTTTTATTCTTTCCTTATCTATTTTTGATAATTGTCAAATGTTACATAACTATTTTGTAACCATTGCATAAATAGGTTACGCTTATACACTTATTTAGACCCGTACCTTTAACAATTCAGGAACAATGATGGAATTAATATTCTCTATGGCTTTAAAAACAGATTTTCCATGATATTTAGATTTATCATTATCTCTTAGTTCTAGGGCTTCGTGAACTCCAGTGGATGCACCGGATGGCACTGCTGCACGGAAGGAACCAATTTCAGTGACGAGATCAACCTAAGAGCATATGTAATATTATTAAAAGGATGTTCAATAAAGTACTAGAAATATATTGTCTTCTAAAATTCAATATGCTACCTCTACTGTAGGATTTCCACGAGAGTCGTAAATCTGACGAGCTTTGATGCTTTGAATGGGCATTTTGATGCAACTTGCTGAGGAAAAGCGCCTTGCTGAGATTAAAACACTGTAATCAATAAAACAATATAAGCAAACTATTTTATATATTAAAAATAATAAATTGCATGCTATACATATATAATTATAATACTACAGTTTTTCTTTTTGTGTTACAAGAAGATTGTAGTACTATAAGTAAATAAATCTGTAATATACATGTTTATTACCGAATAATCTTGCGACGTAACATGATTGTTTGCCAAATATGGAAGCTTGATTGATGTAATTTAATTCGCAAGCATTGTTATGACAAAAAATGCAATAAATTTAGACAAAATATAGATAAGTAATTGTAACTGACAAAATCTTTGAATAGAGAAAGAGGAGTGTCAAGTTCAAGAACATTGTGATAACAGAATATTTAGAGAACAAGTAATACAAGAAAAATAATCAAGTTTAATCAAAATAAAAAGAACAATCTTGCAAATAATATCTAAGAATTAACGCTGCATCGACATAACTGATCACGACGGATCTTTCGATCAAGCTTATTCACGTCGACCTTGTCAAGGTCATAGTGTCTGACCCACCCTAACAAAAACCTTCATTCCAAAAGAAACATATGCTTTAATTTGCATTATAAGAGCAACATTTTAAGTCGACAGGTCACACTTATCAGCAAGATCGCGATTGTCAACGTAATTGAATAATTTAGACGATGCAATTTTGATGCACTTTCATCCGGCAGAGTTCGAGAGAGAAAAAGAAATGCACTCACGCGATTTAGACGAATTTAAGTGGAAAGGATCGCTACGATGATTTTCCGGGTGTTCCTGAGGCAATGCTCACCTGATCTGTCACACGCGACGATTCCCACGAATGGTTTGGCGAGGAATGAGATTTGACCTACCGGATGACCTCCGTCGTGATGCAAGCGGAGAGGTATCGATTGCGAGAGAGGCGCGCGAAAATAAGTTAGGAGAATGAAAAAAAATTTATCTCCGCGAATATGTTGAAATTAATGAATTTTTATCGCTTTTGACGTTTCTGAGAAGGAGGGATCAATTTCTTTGATAATTATTTTATCATATGTAATTCGCGTCTTACGTAATACGCGAGCGTCTGTTCCGATCTTTTTGTAAAATTAAATTTATTCGCCAGCCAATGATAGAGCTGCTCTTCGAATGGCGAAGACAAATGATTGGTCGAACGCAAAAGCGTCCACCACGTTCGAGCTGTCTAAAACCCAGCAAACACCGATATATAATTGTTACATTGCTATAATAAAACGGAATATAACATGTATGTTACATGTAACATCCATGTTAGTTGTAATTTCCCACTCATAGATGTAACATTTTAATATAACATATATTACATTGTAGTTATATTGTCATTATATACCAAATAGCACATTGATGTATTGATAAGTCAGTGTACTATCTGGGATATAATGACAATATAACTACAATAATGTAATATATGTAATATTAAAAATGTTACATCTATGAGTGGGAAATTACAACTAACATATACGTTACATGTAACATGCTTGAGTATATAACATATACTCTGTTTGCTGGGAAGTAGAGAGAAGCCTGAGAGCGGCCACCGCAATTCAGTGGACGCGTGTACTAATGCGTTCCCTGAGAAAGTAGACGTGAACTACGTCGTGAAGCGGTAAAAAAGCACGGTAAATGGTTCGATTCCGTGATATGGTTCATGTCCGAACTATTCAGATAAGAACCAAGTTGAGAACCGAACAGCTGAGTCAGACAACGATCCATTTAACATATATAAGTTATGATTTATATTCAATCAAATGTGCAATACATATTATATGTAGTGTACATATTAAATTGGCAACATTGAAATTCAATGTCGCTTTGAAATCGAATATTTCGAAGCGCGCGTCACAGAAGCATTTATTTTCTTACACTATATTAATAACTTTAACAATAATAATTTTAACAATAAATAATTATTGTTAAAAAATTTCTAAATTAAAAAAAGAATTATCTTTGGACATATATAATCATGAAAATATATAATTATATGTACACTACATATAATATGTATTGCACATTTGATTGAATATAAATCATAACTTATATATGTTATTTAATTTATTTTGTAACGTTATATATTATTTAATAATTATGTATATTTAAAAATTCTAATTAGACAAAATTTTAAAATTGTAAAAAGAAATATCTTACATATATTATGAAAATATAATTATATACTGCATATGATGTATATTGCACATTTGATTGAATATAAATCATAATATATATGTCATTTAATCTATGTAATTATATAGTTTGATAATTAAGTAGGTATATTTATAATTCTATTTTATATTTCGAGAGAAGAAGATATGTTTGATATAAATTTAAAATAAAAATTTATAATAAAATAAATAAAATTGCAAAATTGTAAAGAGAAAAATGTATATATATTACAATTTTCTTAATTTTTCAAAAGCATTAATTAAACTTATATAAGTGTATTAAATGAATAAAATTAATTATTCCATATCGTTATTTTCTTTAAATTATAAGCAATTTTAATAACACAGAAAGCTCACAAAATAAACGAAAAATAATTATAATCAGAAAAAAAACAACAATAAATTTCATCGATATTATACTTTAGACTTATTTACGTACTTATTTTTATAAATTGAAACATTTAGCTAATTGTAAGTCAAACACATATGTTGTAAACATTGGCAAATCGTTGAACTGTCGACAATAATTTATTCGATTTCGAGAGAAGTTTCTTGCTCCTTATAAAGACAGAGAGAAAAGAGGAAATGCCGGACCTAAAGAAACAATATAAGAAGCCACCGTCCACCTTTGGTAACGTGAAAAAAATTAAAAGCGATCTTGCTCACAAGCAGCAAGAAAGACGTAAGAAACGAAGAACAAATGATTTTGAAAGAAATCGGGAGAAAAAACAATCGTCGAATTTTTCTTCAACAAATTCACAAAAACGTAAGTTTCTTATCGATGCGAGATATATAATATGATAATTATTACAATTAGATAATAAATGTTACGTAATTATTTTTGTCACTAAAATGTTGCTGAAGACGACTAGAGAAAGACATTTTGATTTAAAATTCAATTACGTAACAATCTTATTATATATATAAAAATATCAAATAAAAATATTAAATATTATAAAAATATAAATTACACACACACACACACACACACACACACACATATATATATATATATATATATATATAATACACATATAAATATGTGTATACACATGCATACATTATTGTATAATTTAATTACATATTAATAACATATAAGTAACATATTAATATATTACAGATGAAATTAAAAGAAACTTAGTAGAATGGAGAGCGGAACGAGAGAAAAGAAAGGAGAAAGAATTAAAGAAAAAGCCTCCTTTTATAGTCGGGATTGTTCGACATAAGTATTTCTCTCCAGTAACGATTAAATCCAGTAAGAACCCAGTCATTACAAAGACGGAAGGACAGAAAAAGAAGGAGGCAAAAAAGCCTCCTGCAATAAATGACAATTTAACAAAAGATATTCCAGTTAGTATAGTTTTAATCACAACAATTTTTTTGCACTTTAATATTATTTTCAGCATTGTTTAAATATTTTAAATTATATAAAGAAGATATTAAATTTTTCGCACAATTTTTTTCTTTATTATTGTATATAAGTAAAGATCAGTTTGATTTGCTTTGATGGAATTATAATTAATTCATTATGAGATTCTGTTGATTCAAATGCAACAGAATTAAAAATTCCAATGAACTAAAAAACTCCCGATTTTTCTCCGTAACAGTAAATAAATTCGATAAAAAATCAATGTTATAACAATAAAATTTCGTATCTTTATTTAATTTAGAATATTTAAATAATGACGGAAGATGATACAAGATGATTAAAAAAAAATAAACTGAACAATTATGATCTTTGTCAGGTGCCTCAAACAAACGAATTTCCGACAAAAGAAGCTATGAAAAACAATATTGAGATGCCAACGGAAAAAAATCAAGAACACAGCGTCGAGTATTTTAAAGATCTATTATACAATGAAAGAGAGAGGCTTAAAAAAAATTGCGAGCATTGGAGCAAAATGTCAAGAGACGTTAAAGAAGATATGCAATGTAATATTAACCAAGCGGTGGGACAAACGACTTTATTAATAAGCAAGAAATTTTCCCAATTTTATGGCTTAATATTGATCTGCGAAAAAGGTGATGCTGACATACCAGTAACTTGTGCGGATTTGCATGGATTTTGGGACATGATGTACCTGGAAGTAAAGGACTGCGACTCGCGGTTTGCAAAATTGGAAGAACTTCAAGCTAATCATTGGCGAGAAGAGTCATCATTTCCTGAATTTGTAACTCCTTATACAAGTGATAAGAAGTCTTTAGAGAAGGCCAAAAGGAGTATTAATAATAGTACGCAGCATTGTAAATGTCGTAAAGATTTGTCCAAAATATATACGTCAACTCCATATCCTGAAGAGAGTAAAACGGAATTGAATAGTTATAATATGAATACTTCGCTCCTGACAATGAAAATCAGCCAGTTATACAACAAATCCACAATACTCATCGATAAGGATGACACGATATCGTGTAAATCTGAGCAGACGCCTAGAAAACATTCTTCATTGGGAAAGTTTGAAAAGTTGGAGGGAATCTTCAGATTAAAATCGATAAGTGATGCTGACAATAATTCGCAAGATTTATTAAAGAAGATAGATGGTTCTGAATTGGAAGAAATGAAGATACACAAGCTAAGTTGTGTCGAAAAGAGATTAGAAATGGATTACTCTCTCGATAGTTCTGCTTCTACTGTGATCGAAAGAACTATAGCGGATAAAAATAATACACTTAAGGAGACTTCAAACGGTACCTTTTATTTAATCGAACTCCTATTTCTAAATTTAAAGACAAAAGATCTCTTAAAAAACCCAAGTAATTGTTTGAAGATAAAATCGTTTTGATAAAGAAGTTTCAGATATTGGAATTTACAAATAAAAATGTGCCAAGGTTTTGTTTTATTAACGAATTATATACATATAAATCCTATCTACAGATTTGCATCTCGACACATCGCTAAAACACAACGAAATATCAACTGTAAAATAATATAAATACTTACATAAATACATGCGAATTAAATGTAAAAATACTTTTGAACGAAATTATTTTACTTTGCAATAGTTATATAGTACAAAACTTATTACATTTTGGACAAAACTATTACTTTGTAATTATAATTAAATATTTTGTAATAGTTTTGGTCAAACTTTGTAATAACTTTCATTGCTTTGTAATATTATGTATTTCCTTCAAAAATATTTTTACATTTAATTCGCATAATAATAAGTACTTTTGATATTTTATTTCACACTAAACATTTCTGACGTTATGTTTTAGCGATGTGTCGAAATGCAAAAACTGTAAATAGGATTTACAATATGATATAATTAATTATTAAAATAAAAACTTTTAATTTTTTCTATTTTTATTCGTACTTTGTAATAATAACTTTAATTTAAATTTTGATTTAAGTTTAGTAGTTTAGTATTTAAAATTGAAATTTTGATTTAAAAAGTTTCTGCTGATGAGAAAATGATGGCAAAATTTAAGGTAATAGGGAAGCAGCATATTATAAATGTAAATAATGAATGTATTATTTCTTCTGTAAGTAATAAGACTGCAGTCATTACATATACATATAACTATGTATATATTTTTTAAAATAAATACATAAATAAATATATATATTGATCGTTATGCTTGTGATAATGTTAATATACTATTGGCTTATAAAATTAAAAATTTTGAAATTTTAATTTTAATTTTAAGAAATTTTAATTAAAAAGTTTCAACTTTTCTATATTACACATTAAATTTTTAAATATACTATATATATATATATATATATATATATATCACTGCAGCTGTCTTATCACTTAGAAGAAATGATACATTTATTATTTGCATTTATAACCTGTTGCAAACTTTCCTTTATTATCTCAAATTTTTGTCATCTTTTTTTTATTATAGCCGAAACTTTTTAAAATCAAAATTTCAATTTTTCTTAAATAAGATTTTAAATAGAAAAATTATAGTTTTACTCATTGACAATGCGTTATTTTATAAAAATTGATAGTTATATATATATATATTTAATATTAAAATTAGTTTGCTATACGTACATGTGTATAATAAATGTCAGAGGATATTATTAAAAAATATGTTCTATTCTCGCTAATAATAAAATGTTATAATATATTTAGGAAATAAAAATTAAAAATAAAATATAAATGTGTCAGAAATTGAGAAAATTATTTCGCAGGAAGATTTGTGTCGCGCGGAAGTAAAGGCAATGATTTATTTAATCTTTTTTCTAAATGTATAAATATACAGTTCACACACAAATATATACAGACGTTACTTACGAGCACATTTACAATTTTGCACATATACATACATATACATTTGTTTTATACAGAATTTAGTTAATTATGGCAAAAAAATAATTTTGCATATAAATCGAAGAAACATATAAAACATTATTACATTTTTGCATTTCTTAGAACATACAATTTCTCGATTGGATTTTTTGAGTGCTTTTTCAGTAAAATTATTTAAAATATAAACGTCTCTTGAGAATAATTTATACTCATGTATCGGTTGTCATCGATTAAACGTACGAATAAGACGCGTGTTCTGTGAAGCTACTTACATGACATTATATGTATTTAATATGTTATCATACCACGAATACCTTCAGTTTTCAACAATTACTTGAGAAGGTAAGGTCACGAGTGAACAATATACTTTTGGTTAAAGTAACGAGTGATTCCACGACTAAGGTGAGTTAAATACATATTTAGACATTTTTTCGAAACATATGCATGTAAAAATAAGTATGCGTTTGCAGAGTTTTTAGTTTTTAAAAGTTATTTTATTCAATTTTTAAAAAAACATTAAGAAAATCTTCCATTCCTCTTCTTTTTTACAACTACATTATTTTTTTCTTTGCAATTGCCGTAAAAAATGTAGAAGTAAATTATAACAGCAATCTCTTGTTATTATTTTTGACATATAACAAATTAAAAATTGAAAACAACTTGCATAAACTTTATTTGATTCATTTTCTCCTTAATGGATATTTAAAATCGATTTTTTCGTTATGTTAAATTAAATATTGAACAAATGTAAAAAAGAAACGCAATAAATGTTAATTTTTCATACGATATGTAAATAACGATAAATGCTAATAAAAATATATTTATGTTTTTATTCATATTTAAATTTGCTCATGAAACATATATGTATAAACAAATTGAAAATAATTTAAAAGTTTAATTTTGTAACAACTGTTTCTTCGTGTTATTTGTTTATTCAGTATATTCATGACTTACAAGTGACATACATATAAACTTGGATAATTACGTATTCATAAACATATACATCAAACTGGATTAAGATCGGTTACTAAAAGAAATATTTTATATATTTTTATTTTTAAATTTATGTTGATATTTATATATTCAAAATTTAAAAAAACGTTACGTTATATCTTTCAAAAATGTTGCTTTATTTATGTTATAATATTACATTATATTATATTGTTATATATAATATACGTACACGGCACAACAGTATATATTTTCACATTTAAAATACATAAGAAAAAAAAAAAAAAAAAAAGATAACTTTGATTACTTTAATAATTTAAAAAATAAATATCGTTTATATAGATTCTTCAATTTGAAGACATAGAAGTATTTTTAATTATTTGAATGATTAATTTTCTCACAGAAGTCGACAGTTTCTCTTTTTCTATTTAGTTTGCATTTTACTTGTTCCTTATTTCTGTATTTTGTTTCATATACATACATTTAGCAAAAGAAAAAAATGTGTTTGCAGATATCTGAAACGAAAGCTGATATATAATGATGTTCCTAAAATTGACATTAAATATTTTATTATATATTGTTGTAATGGCAACGGCTTTTTCTAGTCACACAAGTGCAAAAAATAAGGGCTGTTATGAAAATAAAGACAATTTATCGAATTGTCTGTTACCTCTTCATTATAATTTGAAGATAACATTGTGGCAAAATTACACGTCTAGTGGTGAATCTTATGTTAATTTTTATATTAATTGTGGAATACATAACATAACTTTAAATACATCAAAATATATCAAATTAACAACAGTAATGTTAAAGTCGGTTACCAGTAAAGAAATCTACGAACCTGATTTATATTATCCTGCACAGGAAATTGTTGTTCTTAAATTCGGCCATAATTTCTTACCAGAAAATTACATGGCAAATGGAGTTTATATTCTATACGCAAAATTTGAAATAATATTTCAACAGATTTTGCTAAATTCGGACATGAACAAAGAAGATCAAAAGTGAGTAATAATATTAGGATGTATTCAAAAAAATAAACCATCTTTTTTTTATATTTATATATATGTGTATATGTATATGTATATATATATATATATATATATATATGTATACATAAATACAGAAAAGTATGCTAATTCGTATTGTTAGTGAAATCGTATCTCTATTGTATTTATTAAACAAAATTAAAATATTTTAAGATGTCAATAAATTACGATTTAATAAATTAATTTTATTACTTATAAATTAGTTTTTTTTTTCATTATATTTAGATGGACAACTAAAGAAACAATTATTAAATTTTATAATTATATTAAGATATTATTTATTTATATGTTTGTGTGACGCGAAAAGTATCTTTGTTCGACTTTTGAAGAAAATTGAGAATTATAAGTATGACATTCTTATATGTTTTGTTGTAAACTGAGAAGTTTTGTAGAAAATTAAACTTTTTGTTAATTTTTTAATTATATTGTTAGAGGTACGATTTAAAAATTTATGACTACAATTTAGCAAACCGGTGTTGTAGATCATACGAAATATTACATTTTTTAATTTTTAATTTACGATATATGAAATAATTGATGGGATAATGTTTAATATATCGTTAATAAAAATCATAGTTTTAAATAAATAAAAATGTTTTGCCATTTATTTGATAAGTGTGCAATTTTAATATTTACCTTAAGCGGTATAATTTAGCATATTTTTCCTTATGTACCATGAACTGATGAAACTTTGTTGTTAAAATTTATATTAGTTTCACCGCTACGTTAATTCAATATGGAAGAGGCCGACGATTATTTCCATGTTGGGACGACCCGGAATTAAGAGCCACCTTTAACATCTCCTTAGAATATCATCATGCACTAAAAATCAAAGTTCTGTCGAATATGCCGATAAATTTTACACAAAATAAAGTTAACGAGTCTTTGACGATTACGTATTTCCAAGTCTCGCCTCTATTACCAGCAACAGATGTAACAATAATTATGCTACCCGATGTGTATTCCACGCGGGTTGCTTCTTATTCGTTAAAGAATGGGTCAGATTTATGGCGCAAATTGGACTTAGAGCCTCACACGTTATTGGCGGAATATGTTATTAAAAACGTAACTCAATTTATAGAAGAATATTACAGCTTCTTGAAAATAGTCCCGAAAATGGAGTACATCGCTATTCCGAATTTCGAAAACAAAACTTATTATACTACGGGAGTAGTTTTTTACAGGTAATACAGAACATTTAAGATAATATAAGTATAATTAAAATTTTTTAAAATACATATATTATTTTCGACATTTAGAATTTTAAATAATTCAAAGTATTATTCATGTTTTATTATTAAAATTTCTTTGATTATATAATGTATTATTTATCTTTTATTATTAGAATTTCTTTGATTATATAATTTAATTTCGATAAGTGATTTTAATAAATAAAGACATATACATATAATACTATTTAGCAAAATGATATAACTGAAAATTATATTATTTATAAAAGTCACATTTATATATTCAAAACTTTATTGTTATTACATTCAATCAAGAATTTAAAAAAATTATTAATTAATTTTGTAATATTAAGTTTTAATGTTAAGAAGATATGTTTACGTCTTTATTATTGCATTTATTGTATAAGTTGTGATGCGTCTATATTTTTTTATTTTTATTAAAATTGAAGGATTATTCGAAGATTTTCCATTCGAAAATAAAATATAGAAAATAATGAAAAAAATCTTACTTATATTTCTGAGAAAAAGGTATAAAAAGAGATGCACATATAAAATTATATAAAATCGAATTAAAATATAACATTCTTTATTTTAATTTTTATTTTATTTTTATATTTAAATTTTTATTTAATTTTTAATTGATATTTTTAAATTATATCATACTATATATCAATATTATAGCATGAATTTTCGATATAATCGCAATATTTACCAATAATTTTTAGTGAAGCTGATATTATCTACAAAGAAGCATTATTTCCTGCTGTGTCCAAAATTGAAACGATGTCCTCAATAGCCCATGATATAACTAATCAATGGATTGGTAAGCTTTTTAATCCATTATGTCCGACTCACGAGTGGTTAAACGATGGCTTCCTTTTGTTTTTTCGTACATATATTCTCGATAAGGTTGGTCTTTGATACTAATTGTACGATAATATTTTTACATTATAACAAAAAGATTTCTTAAATTATCTGACTTTTCGTTAAAAATAAAGGAAATATCGATTATTTCCTTTCTTTTTTTTTAATTTCTAATATCTTAACTCTTTGGGAAAAATATTTAAATAATTATGAAATAAATGACGTATATATTTAAATATATATAATGTTATTATTTAAAAAGACTTTGTGCAAGAGTATATATTTTGTGTCTGAACTTTAACAATATTATATATGTCAGATAGTTACACATTAACAGTAAATTTAAAAATATATAATTATATAATATATTATACATAATATTAAAATAAAAGTATAAAATATGCGAAGCTAATTTTAGAAACATCAAATAATTGTATATATTAATTTATATTGTTAATGCAATCTTCTTTTACAAATATATATATATATATATATATATATATATATATTATATATATACTATATTTAATCAAATCGATAAACAAGTATGTCTGTAGTTATTTCCAGATGACAAGATAATGGATTTATTCATAGTTCAAATTCAACATGAATCTCGTAAGCTAGACTCTGAAATTGCAATGAGTTCTATGGAATTTAAATACGATGTATTTGACCCTGATTTATTTTCTCCTCATTCTCCGATTACAGGTATGTATGTATGTTTAATACATACTATAAAATGTATATGTGTATATATAAAATCTCTGGATAGTTTTAAAAACACCCTGTATACATATATCTATAATTACATATATTTTATACGTTTATTATAGGAGCCCTTGTATGGAACATGCTAAGAAGTATTTTTCCTCATAATTTGTTTTGGGATGGCATCAAAAATATTTAAACTCAACGTAAGTATAATATTCACTTTGTAATATTTGTGTATTGTATAATGCAATAATTGTGTATTTTAATATAAATATTATGCAAATTATTATATAAATGTTATATTCATCTATATATTTAAATATATATATATAAAATAAGAGCAAAATATATCGGTAACAATCCATTCGAAATGCAACAATAAATATATGCTAACAATAAGTAAAAATTATATTCAATGAGTTTTATCTTTGTATATTTAACAAAAATTTAAATGCCAAATAATGTATAAATACTATTGAAAAATTAACTTTGCCAAAAAAAAATATATCAACAAAAATTTATATACATAAAAATATTCTATAAACTTATATACATATATATAAATATACAAGCATATATATATTTCACTTTCAAATATAAAAATTAATAAAAATTATTTTTAAAAATTAAAAATTTATAAAATATAAAATACGATAATAAAATAGTTAAATAAATAATTTAAGAAAATAAAATTATGCTGGGCATACTATTTATTCGTAATTTTTATATAGATACTTAATTTTCTAATATTTAAAAAAATTTAGTCAATAAAATATATGTATATCAATGCAACACTTTTTTGTTCAAATACAAATCTTGTTTCTTTTCTATTTCAAATAAATAATAAGATGCTGGAGAATCATTACATGATGTTTATTTTAATATTTTTACATTAGTGTGTTAACTACTAAGACAAGTTTGTAACTTTTAACGCAACGAGATTCACATATGTAGATAAGAATATTAATTCTTCAACACAACAAATTAAAATCTATTAATAATGTTAGGTTACATTTGAATCTCACATTTGAAAGATGACACCACTTTATACATATATTGTTAAATGCCGCAATGTCAAATTTTACAGAATTATGGATTTGGATCCGAAAAATACCGATGATCTGTCGAACATTATGCAGACTGTCATGGATAAATTGCGCCATAAAATTATACCAGGCACCATTATGGTTAACCCTGACTTTAGAGTGTACAAATTAAAATTAAACCAAATGATGGATATTTGGTCTATACAGATGTTCTGCCCTGTTATAAATGTAATACGAAATTATTCTAGCGGTATCGCGAAAATTTCGAAGGAGTTTTACGAATTAAATCAACAACCATATTTTATACCTGTGACCTACACTTCGGAAACAAACCTCGAGTTTAATAAAACTTTACCGAATGTTACTGAGTGTTTAACACAATCCACTTCAGAGTTGGAAATTCCTAATCTCAATGAAAATGAATGGATCATCGCTAACATTCAACAATCTGGTAAATATTAAATCATTATCATATATTTTTGTTCTTATACTTTTTTATGAGAATTAAAATAATATATATACATATTATAAACAATAATATTCTGTTAATGTATTTCGCAAAAATATTTTTGTAAAATTTCTAATTAAATACACTTTGCATGTAAATATCGTTTTTTATAACTAAAATCAGTTTTAATTAATACAATAATAATTCTCTGTATGTCGCTCAATTATTCAAAACACACATACAGTTATTTAAATTGAATTATCGGTATAAAATAATTTTATATTTTATATACAACATATATAAGAGATTTTTCACATATTTCACTACAAAATATGCGCGCAATTTCTAATACACTTTGTATATGCAAAAATATAAGAAAATAAAATTTATATACATTTGAAATATATATTTCTTATTATAATAGATATGCATATATATATATATTATATTAATATATTTTACCAATGACATTTATTTCTTAAATAATATATAGGATACTATCGCGTCAATTATGATTCTGAAAATTGGCGAAAAATTGCCCGTTACTTGAATTCTGAAAATTATACAAATATTCATGTTATTAATCGGGCGCAAATAATCGATGACGCATTCCATTTCGCAATGCAAGGGAAATTGAGTTTTTCCATATTCTGGGATCTCACGAGCTATTTACCGAGAAAAGAAACAAATTATGTAGCATGGTATCCTATGATCAAAATTTTTTACAACATAATGCAAATATTACCATTTTCATATGCGCCACGTAACCTTCCATATACAGCGCTAAAGGTATTATCAGTTTACAATTATCAGTCAAAGATTATTACTATTTATTGATTATTATTATTATTAATTATAATTATTATTTATTATTATATTGTTAGATAACGATTACTGAAAAATATATTAGAAATTAAAGATTAAAGTATACAACCAATTTTTAAATAATAATAATTTTGACATTATTTCTTAGAAAATAACAAGCGTTTGCTGCTTTCTAAATATCATTATATAGCTGATCATCCAGTTTAAGTTTTGGCATTATCTAATCTTTATATAGATGATATAAATATGTATAATCTTTACATATATCTGCATCTTAGAAAAAAAGTATTATTAAATTATCTAAAATAATGTTCATATAATTTGGTTTAGAGTTATAGCAAATAAAAATATTTAAGTAGTAGATCTTAGAAGCGATAATAAAAGGTTATATAAAAAATAAGCGATAAAAACTTATAAATAAATGTATAAATATATTTTTATATTCCTTTTATAATTTACATTTTTATTATCACCTCATCTTTATCTAGCTAATTGTAAACAATTATCTGAGCAAATCTTTTTAATAGAATATTAATAAAATTTCACATATTTTATTTCAATCTCGATTTTTTAATATAATATTTTGTGTTTTTACTTTTATTATTCTTATATGAACTTTTGCATTTTAGAATTAAATTTAAATTTATAACTGAATTTAATTCATGATTTATTATATATTAAAATTTTAAATTTGTATGAATTAGTAAAAGCAAGAACGATTCTTTAATATATGACTAATATATGTATATTATAAAGGAAGATAAATGAAAAAATTGAAAAGAAATTTATATTTTTATTAATATGTACAAAATTTTATTTATCTCATGACAAAAGATTTTCTTTGTAATGTTTTTAATGAAGTTTCTTCTGATATAGAAATATAAAAATATGTTTTTTTTTTTTTAAATCGGTCAACAGAGCCAAAGCACGAAAATTAATTATTCGGAACTGTATGTTTTGGTTTGAAATCACTAAGTTCCATATATAAATTAATCTCGAAACTTACATATGAGAAATAGGCGCAAAAATATAGGTCCAAAAAGTCGCTGAAGTTTCGAGATTAATTTATATATGGAACTTAGTGATCTCAAACCAAGAGATACAGTTCCGAATAATTAATTTTTCGTGCTTTGGCTTTGTTAGCCGATTAAAAAAAACATCATATTTATATTCTTAATATTGAGAGCCGATAAAATATTTCTTTCTGAGAAATATAAAAATTAATTATGAAATTAATAATGTACTTTTTATGATATCAAAATTATACAGCTTTTATTATATTTTCGTACAAGATTTCCTTAAAAACATTTTTTATATTTAATGTAAAACTTGATTTTAATCTTATAAACTTTAAGTAAAACAAACATTATGACAATGTATTATTAACACATGTAAAGAATTTGTACATATTTTAAAACCGAGTTTTAAAAAAATTTAGTATGCTATATATGATAAAAGTCTTTCAATAAATATAATGTATTATTTATCACATCTTTCTATTAAAGTTTGATTATTTTTTTTATACAAATGTTTGAATCGTTATTTTGTACATAAAGCTCTAGTGCTTCTAATTTTTTTACCCAATTTTTGCAGGAAATACTTTTCCAAATAAAAAGTTTGTTTGAAGAAATGAAACTATATAAAGACGATCAATCGCTACTTTTTTTCGAGGAACGTGACGAACAACAAAATTATTTGAACTTAATACTTTCAAAATTGGGATGCATCATCCAGGATTTTCTCTGTTTAAAAATGGCTGAAGTTCAATTGGAATTGCATCTAATTAATAAAAAGATGTAAGTCTTTCGTTATATTTTTGTGTTGACACTTTTTTGAATACTGTGCACACATATGTGATAATATTACTTGAGAAAAAGTGCACACACATATATATACCATAATCAAATATAAATACATATATGTATATAAAATATTTCCATAAACGTCTCTCTTTTTTACTTGTCCAGTTTCTATCAGTTCTGTTCTGTATATACTAGTAAAATAATAAAAAAATGAAAAAAAATTGTAGAACAAGAATAACTCTTGCATTGTTTTTTTTTAGATAAAATAAAACTCGAAGAAATTAAAAGAGCGACTGGCTATGTATAAGCATATTTATGTTTACATATCATTTTATATTAACAATTTAGTTTTAGATTTTTTTAAAATTTACTCTTTCCATAAAATATAATACATAAATTACTCTAGTTTACAAAAATGTTTTTTTTTTATTATTTTAAATAAGACAAATTGTTTTATGCACATTTTGGATGCTGAGAACGATTTTACAATCTTTACTAGTCAATCTTCAATAGTATGTCAGATTTGAAATAAAATTGAGATTCAATATGCAAAAAAATATTTTTTTGCGGTACATGATAATTTTTTTTTTTTGTGAATAAGATTAATGTGCATTTTATAGGGAATAAACAATACATTTATGATATTTGATTAGACTTTCAAGATATAACATTTTTTTACAAAAAAATTTTATATAATACAAGAAAAACCACTTCTTTAATAAAAATTTGATGTACTAATGAAATTTGCAGGACCTACCCAGCGAGAAATGATTGGTCGAATCGATTCGACGAATTCTACATCGATTCGATGTCGAATCGATGTCGATTTATCTATCATTTCTCGCTGGGTAAATATCCATAAAAAATAATTTTTAGCTGTAATCTAATGTGTTATTTTTGTAATTATTTTTCCATTTTTCTTAATATTGTTTCTATATACGTATAAGGAATATAATTATATTAATAAAAAAATTACATGTGTATATCTTATATACACATGTATGTTTATTGTGTAACATATAAACTTTCTTCCATAATATTTATTAAAAACTGCTAAATATATCGATCAACGAAATGTGTCAAAAATTAAAATGTTTGTTTTCTGTACATCGTAGAATAATGCCTGGATGGTATGAGTGGACATATTGTAATGGTTTGAGAAGAGCAAACGATACTCTTTGGGGCCAAGCATGGAAGGAAGCAACTAATAAATATCTAGCAAAATCTGATTATACAATGTTTGAATATCTCACTTGCATCGAGCATCCTCAAATTCTCCTTCATTATCTGAAGTCGGCTTTACCAAAATTTGAAAAGGATTTGTTCTTGAATAGTGAAAATAATGAAACGCTACAAGTGATACAAAATCAACAGCGTAAAATTAAAACTAAAATTTTTTTCTCTACTCTTGCAACACATGCTAAAAATAATAATATGCTTAAAGAAATATTATCAAACTTTAATGATATAAAATTCAGGTAAATAACGCATACGGACCCACACATTTCCTTTATAAAACATACTAGTTATATTAATAAAAGATTATTAATATGTATGTTAATTATAATTTTCTCTTTCTTTCTCTCTCTCTCTCTCTCTCTCTCTCTCCATATATATATATATATATATATGTACATATATATATTGTTTTATTTTATAGCCATATCAATAGCACTGCAGCATTTATTGTGCTTATTAATAATGCCTACTTTAAGGATCAAATTGACCAGGTATAGCTTATAAATTTCAAAAAATTATATTATTTTAGAGATAATCTTAGTAATTATATATTTTTATCAGCAATATTTACTCTATTATATTTATATTTCATCGAAATGTATCGTATATCATATATTGCATGTACAATGTAACAAAAATATGTAAAATTACGTAAATAATTAAGTGTAAATTACACGATAAATAATAAAAATATATACATATTTTTACGTAATATATTATATATATATTTTTTATTACAGTGTAATGTGCAATGTTTTTCTCTTTTTCTCTTACATGTTTGTGCATGTATGTCTTGATATTTTATGATTAATTATGAAATTACTGATTGACATTAATAAATAAAAATTTATTTCAGATATTTAAATACGCAAAAATAAATATGCCACAATTATTTTCATATATTGCCAATAAGACTGTAAAACGTTCAACCCAGATCGAAGAACAGCTGACATTTTTTGTAAATTTGATTGAAAAAGCCAACCAGAAATGGTACGGTAAAGTTAACTCAAATAGCTCAATTGCGTGAAATGTAAATGTAGTAGTAGGTACATTATTGAAGAAAACAACAGATATAATACAAACATAAAATTTCAATAATTAAATAAATTAATAAAATTGCAAAAACTACCCCAATTATGACATTTCCAAAAATATTATACAAAATTGTGTATTAATTTTTTATATATTTATTAATAACATATATTATACGACAATATTTTATACTTATTTATTGATTTCAATTATTTTCTTATTTTAATATAAAAAAAACTATTAATCTCGGCTCGAATTATTGTGTTACAATAAAAATAAAATCTCGACGGCAATCGGAGCCTATGCGGATGACATGCACAAAATTAATAAATTAAAATGAGATCTCAAGTCAAACTCATTTATTAAATTCTAAACGTTTCGACCCACTTCGGGTCTTCTTCAGTAGCTGCAAAATACAAAGAAACAAAAATAGAAGATAATCGGTACAATCAGAAAATTATAAAACTCGTATACATACAATCCGCAAATAAATTAAATATCATTCTCCTCCCTATTCAAACCGTCCGGCCGTCGGAGTGTCTCCCTAACGGTGACCATCGTCAGGAAGGAAGCGGAGCAGTGACTCCCTTACCAACACTAATCAACATGGTATAAATTAAACGTAGAACAATTCAAAAGAATTAAAAATTAAGAACCGGGAAGAACACTCACCCCGACAGCAAAAACAGAGAGAAGACGATGCTACACGTGACACATCACTCTAACGACTGTGCGGTATTCTACCTCGACACAGTCGATACATATATACGCAAAAAACAAATATAAAAATAAAATATGAAAATAAAAATAAAAATAAAAACAACTAAACTAATCGGCACTCATGTCAAAAGTCTAACAAAAAAAAACCCGGCTATGTAAAATCACAAAGCTAGATTTTGGTAAATTTTTCTATTAACAGATCAAGATTCTCGTTTAATTTATCAGTGTCGCTATGTAAATTTAAACTATTCCTCTGACGTTTTATGTGGATCATTTCGGATATCAAACGTTTACCTAAAAAAGGCTCCTCGTCTAAGACTTTTACATCCTCCCAATTAAATTCATGGTTCAATAATCTATGTTCCGATATGACTGATAATTGTGACGCGTTTCTTTTTATGTTGTTGCGATGTTCTTTCATCCTAGTTTTCAACAATCTACCCGTCTGCCCTACGTACGACGCATCACAATCCATACAATCAATTTTATAAACTACATTATTATGGAGTTCTCTTGGTAACTTATCCTTGTGTACTTTAATGAATTTACGGAGACTGTTAATTGCTGTATATGATGGAATGACATCCAAATCACGTGTAATGTCCTCGATTCTCTTCGATACATTATTAATATACGGAATATTAAAGTACGAAACTTTTTTCTGCGTTAGAATCTTGTCATTGCATACATTTGCTCTATTGTTATGCAACTTATTATTATAGCGGAAGAACAACTTTTTTAACCGCGCTTGTAATGTATGAAATATCAAATTGAGAGGATAATTATTAGACAAAAGAACTCCAATCATAGACTCAAAGTTAACTTTATGGAATTTCGGATGAGATAGCCAAAAAACTCTATCTATGAGGCTGATAATGGTGCCTTTTTTATGACAGAGAGGATGCTGCGATTCAAAATTTAAATATCTACCTGAATACGTCGGCTTATGAAACAAATCAAACTCAATGCTCCCATTATTTATAATAATGGTGACATCTAAAAAATTCAATCGGTTGTCAACCCCCTCCTCCATGGTGAACTGCAATCTAGGATGGAAAGAATTGAAAGTGTTTAAAACTATTTTAAGCATGGAGGGTGGGGCCGCCAACGCGATATCGTCAACATATCTAAAATAAAATGGAAATGACAATGGAATCGCAGCAATCGCTCTACTCTCCAAATCTTGCAACGTGATATCCGCAATAATCGGTGAGAGGGGGGAACCCATAGGCGTGCCAAAAGTCTGTTGATAACATACATTATTAAACATAAAATAAGTCGAGTTCATAATAAAACGAATTGCCAATAAAAATTCATCTCGTGGAATAATACACTCTTTTTCAATATACCCCCATCTGTTAATTAAACTATCAATAGCCATATCCAATGGTACGTTGGTGAACAATGGTGACGATGGTCACCGTTAGGGAGACACTCCGACGGCCGGACGGTTTTGAATAGGGAGGAGAATGATATTTAATTTATTTGCGGATTGTATGTATACGAGTTTTATAATTTTCTGATTGTACCGATTATCTTCTATTTTTGTTTCTTTGTATTTTGCAGCTACTGAAGAAGACCCGAAGTGGGTCGAAACGTTTAGAATTTAATAAATGAGTTTGACTTGAGATCTCATTTTAATTTATTAATTTTGTGCATGTCATCCGCATAGGCTCCGATTGCCGTCGAGATTTTATTTTTATTTTCTTATTGTTCATAATTATATATTTAATATTACAAATGTTAAATTGATTTTTATACTATTTTATTTTAATATTTATATAATATTGATTACAATTATATAATATTTATTATGTAATATGTACATGCATGCATACATACATATATACGTATATATATATATATATATATATATATATATATATATATTTTACACACAGTTTTTATATATTAATTATGTAAATTTGTAAAAGTATAATGAATATTATATTAATGACATTAAATGTAATAATAAATTTAATGCCAAAAATATATATTATTGTATGTTTATTTGGCATCTTCTAAGTAATTTTTTCATATTTTCTTAAATGCATAACTTTGGCGAATAATATTGCCGATAATTTAGTGTTTATAAATCAAATTTCCTTTATGTAAAAATATTTTATTACTTAAGACTGTGCTTTATAAAAAAAATTTTTATATAATCATAATTTATTAAAGCATTTCTATTTTATTTACTAAGTGCATGTACCATTATAACAGAAAGTTTTATTTCATCAAAATAAGAACGTTTTTTATTAAATTTAAGTACAATTTAACTTCTTAAAGAAATAAATAAGAAACAAAAATTTGATAAAAATAGAAAAATATGAAATAATGTACATGTACAAAAATCAATAAAAAAAAAACAATATTCATTTCTTAATGCATGGAATATACAATTTCTTCATTGGATTTATGTATGCTTAATTTTGAGACAATTTTAAATATTAAATTTAAAATATCTTTTGGTAATTAATTGATCAATCGCGTTTTAACTTCCATCGATCTAATAACAATCAAACAAGTCTCTTATTATTACGCGTATAACCTTGTAGATTTATTTATGTATTTCATATCGCAAACGTTGTCTTCGATAGTCTTTCGAAAAAGCAAGATTAAAATTGAGCAATACACTGTTGCCTAAAATAACGCCTGTGATTCAACAAACAAAAGGCTAAAGGTATGTGAAATATAGAATATTTTAATATTTTTTTAAAATAAATGTATATAAAAATATGCAAAAAGACACAATTGCAAAGTTTTTGTTTTTTAAAATATATTTTATTTCATTTCTAAGAAAAAATAATACTTTTTATTTCAACTATCTCTATATTCAATTATCTCTATATTCTCTGCATAATATACAATATTTGAAACCTTTTCAGTTTTGTAAAAACATTTTTTAATTTGTTTCATCTTATAACAAATTGTGTATACTTGTTTAATTTATTTTACCTCAAAAGGATATCGAGAATTAATGCTTTTTGTAACATTATTGCAAAATTAAGTTAATGCTTTTTGTAATATTATTGAAAAATTACATATGTCATAATTATGAAGGAAGGAACAAATATGCATTTTAATTTTTTTCTAAAAAAGTGATTTTACGATAAATAATGATAATAAATATTGTCTTTTTTTTAGTTCAGATTAATTAGTCATAAGACCATATAAAGACATAATTTGAATTGAGTTTAATTTTGCGACAGCTAATTCTTTGTTATCCGTTTTTTGGAACTAAACATTACACATACAGTAACACATATAATTATGATGACAAAACGTATTGATAAACAGCTGAAAATACAACGGTTAAAATTTAGTTATTAAAGATAAGATATTATTTTATACATTTTTGGTGCAAAATTTATTTATTATATTTTTCCGATTATAACATTTATGAAAAATCAAATTGATTTATAAAAAATATTAAATAAATGATTTATGAAAAATATTAAATAAACAAGTTTTTATAGACATTTCAATTTGAAAAAACAGAAATACGAACAATATAGCTTATATATAAACAATATACACAACTTCTCTTTTATAATGTAAATTATTTAATATTCGGTATTACAACTTACATTTATTATATTACATTAGTATTTACAATAATTATTCTAATTTATCATTTATAATTTCAGTATTTAAATAGTATTATATATATATATATATATATTTTTTTTTAATTAATAATTCTATTTACTTATAAACGATTCATGTTTTACAATATACATTATAAATTAATCAGCCATTGATCTATGTAATATTGGTATTTAAAAAATTTAATTGTCAAAATTGAATATTATATATTATTAATAGAATTTATAATAAAATTTTAAAATTAAAATTAACATACATTACGTAATCAAAGTAGATAAACTATATTGTTTATACAAACTCTTTGTAAAATTGATAACATATATGTATTTATAAATTAGTGTATTTCTTTTGCAATTTTTAACTTGTGTTACTTTACTTATGTTTCCTGTTTAATTCTCTTATTACTAGCAAAAAATTTAATTTGTAGTTGATTATTATTATTAATACTCATAAATACGCATTATTTAAATATTTGATAAACTTTTTTCTTTTTCTTTTTTCTATTTTCTTTATTTTAGATTTCTATAATTATTATTTCATAGAGATTTTGTTTTGTTTTTTTGTTATAAATTTTAATATTTTAATATATATATTTTTATTTTAGTTTATTAATTTTTTAGTCTAGGTTCCTTATTTTTTTTGCAATTTTATTTATTTGAGTTTCTATTTTTGTATTATTGTTTATTTTATACTTCCATAGAAGTTGCGATATTATGCATATTTTCTTTCCACG